TGGATGCTGCAAGCTGTGTTCTGGGCCTCCTACTCACTCCTGGTGTCTAAACCATGTTCTCAGGGCCCAGGTTCAGGTGTGAGCTTCCCTCTCTTCTGGTGGGTTCTAGACCATGTTCCCAGTTCCACCAGGGTCCTAATCTTACCCTCTTCTGCTGCTGGGTTCCAAACTGCACTCCCAGCTTCACCAGGTTCCCATTGACACGCTGTCACACTGGTAAACTCAAGATCAGGTTTTAGGTTGCTCTAGGGCATTATCGAAGCCTCCCTCCCCCGTGGGTGGGTTCTAGACCATGGTTTAGTAACTTCAAGCTCCAACAACCTCAGTCTCCGGTTTCTTTCTGGTTGTCTCTCAATCGCATTCTCAGTGTCACTTTTGGATTCTAGATCATATGCTCTGTGTCCCCAGGCTCCAATTTTATTCCCTTTTTCATGAGTGGGTTCTAGATACATTCTCAGTGTCCCCAAGCCCTGGTCTAAGATAAGACTGTCTTCTCTATATAGGACCACATTCTCAGGGTTGCTGGACCTTCAATCTTATGCCTGGACTTTCTGGTGGATTCTGGACATGTTCTCAGCATCTCCAAGCCCTGTTCTAGGCTTCTGTCCCTTGGAGAGATCCAGAACATGTCTGAAGTGTCTAATGAACTCCAATCTTACCCTCACACTCTCTGGCAGGTTCTNTAAGCTGAGCTGGGATGATGGCCCTAAGCTGAGCTGGGATGATGGCCTTAAGCTGAGATGGGATGAATGGCTCTAAGGTATGCCAAGTCCTCACTGTGAACTACACAAGAACGTCCATTGAATCGTTCATTCAACAAGTGTGTATTCATTCACTCAACAAGTGTGCATTCAATTCAAAGGGAAGAGGAAGGTTGATGAAAGAAGAGAGTGAGGCAGGAGTCAAAACACTGAGGGTCTTGAATGTCATCCGGAACACCTGAACACCAGGAATTCTAGCATGAGTCTTTTTCTGAGCTTTCCCTGAGTCATCCCGAGGCTGGACAGAGCAGTGAGCATTGGGGTTGGGATTGTCCTCTTTGCAGAAAAGAACCGCTGGGAGGAACCTGGTAAGCATCTCTACAACGTGGAGGCCACGTCCTACGCCCTCTTGGCCCTGCTCCTGCTTAAAGACTTTGACTCTGTGCATCCTGTCGTGCGATGGCTCAATGAGCAGAGATACTATGGTGGTGGCTATGGCTCCACTCAGGCAAGTGGGCTCACATCCCCCGGGCACCTGCATCTCTGACTCCTGTGGCCTTCCACTGGCCTCCCTGAGAAGACTTTGAGACCCAGAGAGACAGTTCTTCTCTCCCATGAGCCAGGGTAATGGGAGTGGAGTTGAGAAATCAGTTTTTCTTAGTTGTGAACCCATCTGTAAGTTCTAGACTACATTCTGGATGCTGCAAGCTGTGTTCTGGGCCTCCTACTCACTCCTGGTGTCTAAACCATGTTCTC